TTTCTTAAATTATTACATGGAGTTGGAATATTTTTTTGGAATTTTCGGCCTCCATTTTGCCTTCCTCTATTAGCTCCAATTTTTTTTTCTTCTTCAGCTCCTGCAAAGGTTATTTTTTTTTTTTTTTGTATTTAAAAATGGAATTTGTTCGCGCGTAAAAATAATAAGACGCGGAAAGCTGCGTAGGTGATCGGGGAGGAAGACACCGTAGCAACAGCATTCCAGCCAACGTATAATCACGTCGTAACGCGAGGCCAAGTTGTGCGATGACCCCGCACGTGGAATCCCTCCAACAGAAGTGTGTGCTAACCATTGCAACTATTCTGGCTTTTTTTAATTCCTCTATTTTTTCTTTCTTTTTCTCTTCCTCCAAAAGTCTTGTTTTCTCCTCCTTCCGTTTGGCTTCCTTTTGCCACCTTCAAAGGGAAATTTAAAAAAAAACGTTACCAACCATTTGTGCAACTATAGGTGTACAAGAACCATATTATCATTTCGGTTGTATCTCTGTGAATGGGAATATTATCTGTCCATACTTCAGGGCTTGTATTTCGTCAAAGTGCGCTTGTAGTTCGATATTTTTTTTCTGCTTCATTCGTATTTCGTGGACTTCCCTTTCTTTTTCTTCCTTTTCTCGCTTAACTTTTTCTTCGTATTCCTTTTCTCTCGTTGCCTTTTCTTCCTGGTATTTGACGAATCTGCGTTAAGGGGGGGAAAAGACAAATCCGTCCATGTCCATTTTGCGCGCGTTAAAATGAACAAGTTTTTTGCAAAATTTTTTTTCGACTGCTTTTTCGAATGGTCCTCTTTTTTTATACTCGGCATCCTTCCTCTTCTCCTCCTTTTTCTGCTCGTTCAGGGCTGTGCAAATGGGCAAAAATGGTACGCATAAATGTGTGCGTCGGCATGTATGCGCGTAAAGCTCACGTGTTGTGTGGCACTAATTTTTGCCCCTTCATTGGTGGTGTCTGTGCCCCTTTTCGCGAGGACGACACACAATTGCGATGGGCACCTATCTTCCAACTACTCTAATGCGTGCCCTGTCTTATCCACATGTGTCCTTATACTTTTTGCGCCTTTTGACCGTTACCTTCAATGTGCTTGTTGTTGCTCTCAAGCATGTAACTGCACAGGGCGCGTTGCTCTTTCACTTTTTCTTTCTTCTTCTCCAATTCTTCGACTTTATTTTTTTCAAACTGCTTTTGCATCAGTTTCCCCTCGATTATTTTCATTCTCTCTTCCTCCTGCTTCCTCAGCTGTTGAGACAAAAAAGGAAAAAAACATATTATGACAAATGAGAAGGCTTATGCATATCCAAGCGCGGTGTCACGTGTAGACCAATTTACACCCCCCGCTGTATTCCCCTTTTTTGCGTACGAAATTTTCCTGAATTTGATTTTTTATTATAAGTGCGCTTTCCTTGTTCTTCAAAATTATATTTTTTTCTTCCTCCTTTTGCTTTTGTTCAATTTCTGTCATATACAAAGTTTCAATTTCTTCCCTCTTCTGGTTTTCCTTGTTCAGCTTTTCTTTTTCCAGCCTGAAAATATAGACATGTAGGAGGTGTGGAAGAGGAGAGAATATCACAAAAAAAAAAAAAAAAAAAAGGAGACCATTTTTGTTACAAATACACACCGGGCTATGCACAACACAGACACACGATGTTAGAAAGACAAATGGATACGACACTTGTTGGTAACTATTTGGAGATGTTTTTTTTTTTTTTTTCACCAACTTTTTCTCGTCAATCTGTTTTTCCAACTCTTTTAGCAGATCTTTATCGTTTTTTATAATTCTCGTTTTTTTCTTTTTTTCACATGTCTGTCAATAAAAATGAGAAAAAATATGTATAAATAAATAAAGCGCGTTTGGGGCCTCCCTTAGTCGCAAGCACGTTTTTGAGGACAGATGGCATAACGACATCACATCCTTTGAGACTCCATTTGTTGGCGACTTTTTTTTTTTTTTTTTTTAATTCCCTTTGGCACATTTACTTCACTTTCATCAGAAGACAACTTTTTTATGTTTTTAAATTCATCCTGATTTTGAATAAATTCTAAAACTTCCTTTCCAAAAAAAGGGGCAACAAAAAAAAAAATGCACACGAAATGTAGATAACTACTTCAGCGTAATCAGTTGTTCCATACTTTTGTGGTAGATGGAACAAAATGAAATATAAATATATATTTTTTTTTTTACTTCTCTTTTGGCCGACGTCGCCATTTCTTCGGTTATTTCATTATCCTCTCTGATCCATTTCTGCGTTTGGAAAGGAAAATACAATGTGGGGAAGTGGACACCTCGATGAAGCGAAAGAAAATGCCGTGATGGTTGCCACTTGAAGAAGCTACAAAAAAAGGGAGGTACCTCCTCAATTTTATTCAGGTCTTCATTTAGCAACTCATTGTCCTTTTTTTTCTTTTTTTTTAATTTAGACAAAATGTTTCGACTCAGGTTCATTTCGTTTTCTTTTCTTTCTTTCTTTTTTTTTTTTTTATTTAACAAATGTGTCAGCGCGCTTGCAGACAACAGGTGTGCGTATACTGTACAGGCGACATATGCATGTGTATAATTTTACGATACACTCATGTATGAGAACAATACATTCTCCAGATGTGCCAATACAAAAAACCGGTAAGGAGCCACGCTACGTTTCGTGCAGCGCTAGGCGTATTCCTCCATGTGCGAAAAAAAAAAAGCGAAATTAAATTTTAAGGATGGAAAAAAAAAAAAAAAACGCACTTGTACAATCATAAATGCACAAAAAAAAAACCCAAAAAAAAACGGAGGCATCCTCCAAGACAGGGCAAATTAGATACTATTCAAAAGGCGAACAACAATGCTATCGAGATTGGCGGAAAGGAACTCCTGCGAAACGGAAAAATCGTTCTGAAGGGAGTACTTAAATAGGGAGAAGCACAGCCCGGTGCTCATTTTTTTTTTTTTTTTTTGTTTTCTCTAGGGTACGCCATGTCTTTGTGCTTATTTTGCTTCCCATTTTTGGAACCCTCCACGGAGATGCTGCGAGGGGTGGTTAATGAAATAGATGCAGAAAAAAAGAGAACAAATTTGTGTAAAAATGTAATACCGTTCGCTTTCTCCTACTAAATGGGAGAATCACCCCCGTATGATGGAGTAACGCTAGGGTTCCCAACTTAGCGCTATTTTAATCGATTGCTGTTAACTTACACAACTCACATGACAGATATGACGCCTACCTGTCTTAGTGATCTTCCATTCGCATGATCTTCCACCCGCAGGCATTTGTTTATTTATTGTTTTGCCAAATGAATGTTCTCCCACGCTCAAAAGAGACTACACAAATAAATGTTATTTATTTTTTTTTTTTTTGCCTTAATTGTGCATACAGGTGTCGCAACTTTGGCAATTTTTAACAATAGCAAAAGGGTTTCCTTCTTACCTCTTTCTAGGAATACCAAATTTCCATTTCGTAAAAAAAAATGTGTTGTCTTCCCACGAGGCAGTGCCAACCCCTTTAATTCCCTTCTTTCCGCAGAACAGTATATGCATAGAGCTACATCGGTCAAAATAATTAAAAGGGGGGGAACTCTCCACATTAGCTGTGACAACCTGCGCGGACAAGGTTCCACTATTCAGCGCACACATTAATTTTTGAGTGCCCTTCATTCGAAACGGGGATAACCCCTCAAGTAGAACCACATGCAGTAACATTTTTTGCACTAACTGCAACTTGTCCACGGAAAAAAGACCACCATTTCAGCGGAGTGCAATTCACTCCGCGCTCAATCTACTGGTGTAAGGGAATTCTCACCTGTACTCTAATCATCCACGTGGACAAATTTTACCGAAACAAGGGGGATGCATTCCATAATTCGTAAGTTAGAGGAAAGTATAAACAAAAAAGGGAGACACACAAACAAAAAAAAATTAAAAAAAGATATACGTGTTTTGGTCGGTTGGGTGGACCGGCCATTGAGGGATGCTCCTTGTTGGATTTGCAACAAAGGGAGTAGTTTGTTTGACAAACGCGGTAACGAAGGAACCTGACGGGTTGACGTGTTGATGGGCACACTTTGCCTCCACATACATAGTCCAGCGACATTGTACACCGCGTCAGACCTCAGTTGAAGTACAAATTATAAAAGAGCATGGATGTGGTGATGAGGCCCAGCCCCCCGGGTACACTCGAAACGAGTGCGCACTTCTGCTTACAGTTCGCATCCACGTCACCAACAATTGCGTAATTGTGCAAACACTTGGCTAAACCATTGGCGAATTTAATTTTGGAGTTGCGGCTTTTCAGGGGAATTATTTTATGGAATTTGTTGTGGGCCCTCTTTATCCCTCCACTGGGCGGACAAATCGGACAATCGTTATAAGAGTGAGATGGAGAAGTACCTTCTCTTTTCACTCTGGTGGTTTCCTCACCAAAGAAATTCTCACATGTGGCAGTTTTACCAATGCGGGAACAACTTAAGCATATATGTTTCACCAAACCTTTGCGATTTTGCAGCGTGTTGTAATTTGCCCCCTTCTTGTATTTGGCACGCTGGAAGAATCCCCTTCTACAAGGGAAATTCCCTTCCTCCACTTTTGGTGGCCCCTTTTCCATGTCCACTCTCTTATTTCTGACGGAGGAATCGCAAAGGGAGGTCACCCTACTATCCATGTGCCTACCTCGAGGGGGGACCAAATTGATTCCGAAGTCTAAAACAATTGCGCCTTGTTTAATATTTTTTTTTTTTAAAATGTAAGGACAACCTATTGCTATTATTATGACATCTGCCTTTTTTACAATCCTTCTATCGATATTCTTGCTTAGTGTTGATAAATCTTGGTGCGTAATTTTTGTGTACCCCTTAATGGTAGCTACATACGAGTTGGAGAAAATTGTGCACTTGTTTTTAAAATCGGTTTTGTTTCTTATGTGTAGCTTTCCTAGGTTACTGGTGCGTAGGTAGCACTTGTTTTCCTCTTCACTGTACCTACACAGAACCTCCCCCCGCAGCGGATCATAAACCGTCGTCGAAATTTCATTTCGAAAAAAACAGGCAAATAGGGATAGGAAAATATTTATGTTGCTACTCAGAATCAACACATTCTTCCCCTTCACATGTATTTGATAATATTTCAAGAAGAGGAGGACGGCGTGGACACAACATGGGAGATTATATTTGGTGCTACTCCTCAGGTAGTTGTGAATTTCTGGGCTTACATTATTAATATGTTTGACGTCGCTGCAAAGGTTACTAGGTAGGGTGTTATCCCTGCTCGGGTAATTCCCCTCCGTAGGGTCACTCACGTTTTGCGAGTCTCCCTCAACTGTCTTTTCCTTCCGTATCGTCGCATTTGCAATAGCGTTCGTCCAGATATACTCACTCTTTTTTATCATGCGAAGGTGCAAAATGTAAAGAAGACAGAGCAGGAAAGCTTCATCACTTTGTGTATATAAATACGGAGGCGGATGTGCAAGGGGGATCGGCGGGACAAGAGTCATGCATCCGTCATTATGGGCATCTCCCCCACAAGTACTACTCCTACTACCACGGAACAATAACTTCCACATGAGTGCACAATTAGATCGATCTACATCTTTCTCTTCTGTAATGAAAGTAGAAATGTAACACTTGTTTATGTGACGAGACAACGGAGAGAGAATTATGAGCCAGGTGTTCTTTCCTCGTGTATTTATTTTTTTTATTAAATTGATTAACCTCTTTTCGTTGCAGCCCTTGTGGACTCGGATGAGCACAAACGTAATATCTGCACTTAGGAACAAACTCTTTTTCAGAATAATGTGCAGGTATGAATAGGTGGATATGTTCTTTGAGTAAATAATAAATAACGTTTTTTGTTGTGGCCAATTTTTATTTTCCCCAACTTGAATCTTCTCATTTGCAATTTTTCGCATCACCAACTGGTCAATTTGGCTAGCCAGCTCGTATCCATACAGAGTGGCACAATTCATTGTACTCATCTCGGCGGGGGAACTGCTACATGGGTGTGAAGCATGCAAATAGGGAAACTCAAAAATGGGAAAAGGATCATTATTATGCAGATATGATGACGGCTATTTATCCCATTGATTATTTGTCCCAGTTGGTTTGCTTTACCAACACGTATATATATCACTTTGCATGGCAATTTTATTTAATCAGATTTGGGCAAAAAAAAAAAAAAAAAAACCTGTTTTAAAGCCCGCTCCACGATGTTGCACTTGCGGGTGGAACAACTAAATGAGCCTTTTGTTTTTTTTTTTTTGCGTCCCTTCAATAGGCAACACATTTTCCGGTGGTCACGCGCAGGGAGTTACAGATGAGAAAGCACACGTTGATTCGCCCCGCGTGTACAATTTTGTTCTTAATCATTTGGTTATTCGTAAATATTTTGCGCTGTGGCAACGGTGTACTAGAAATAATATTACCGCTTCGCCATTTCACGCGCAAAAAAGGAGGCATTTAAGATTTGAGGCTACCTTGCTGGTGCCCACTTCCACCAGGTGAAGCGACGGGAAACGTTCTAGATCATGACGATTGGCCTAACCTCTACAGGTCAGCCCAGCGAGTTGCGTCCAAAGCATTGCACATTATAACCTTTGGTCTGTTATCTGCTTTCCGCACCGCAACTCTGCAGATGAGAGGGCGTTACGTGTAAAACTCCGTTTCGTTGTTTTTGTCGGCTCATGTCCGCGTTCCACCCATCCCTCTTTCTTAGCATTCCGATTAGTAAGTAGGACGAAACATGCCCGTACATTCTACTTTATTATTTACACATACCCTCGTATCATACACATAAAGCATAGGTGATGGAGAAGACCAAAACCTACCGGTTAAAGCAACATACATGTGCACCGTGGGGGGGGGGGGGAAATAAACGCTTAGACTTCAAAAAAAGGACAAAAAAAAAAAAAGAAATTTTATTGCATTAAAAAGGAAATTTCCTTATCTGAGTTAAAGTTAAACAAAGGTGTTATCAACGCAGCGCCTACAAAGCGTCCATGAATAATTATTTTGTTACAAGTATAAATCAGGAAACAGGTGCCTACATGGGGGTAGGACAGACGGGTAGAGGGAAAAGGAGTACGTGCACAAGTGGCACACTGATGTAATGATGCATATATGTGTGCTTGAACGGCTGGGTTGCGTTTCCGCGCGCGTCCAAGAGCGCCTCCTTGAAAAAAAAGGGCTCTCCACGAATTGAAGACTCCCCAAGTGTTAAGCGGGTCCGCAGGTTACGTAGCACACCGATTGGCGACTCATCCGATCCAGCGCTAACCCGATAACTGCCTCTTTCTTGCTATGCGCGCGGAAAAAAGAGGCACTCGCACGACGCGCAAGTGCGGGGAGGGTGGAAAAAAAGAAAAAAAAAAAAAAAAAAGGCAAAGTGGTGGAAAAGGGGGGAGGGGCGGCGTTACGAAGAGTGCTGCAAAATGTACTGCTCACTGCCTCTTCATCACAAAATGGGAATCGCCTCTCAACTAAGAGGAT